AAAATCGACCCCACCTTCCACACTAATATAATTGCAGCATTTAAATCTTTTTGTCCGACTGTCTGTCTGTCCGTCAACACCTTTATGTTGTTGTTGTTTGTGTTGACATTTCTTTAAGCCACCTTGAATAATATTCATATTTTGTATATGGCTAAAAGAAAAACACGAAAAGAAGCCCTAATTAAATTGTCTGCCGACGACTATTCGATGTCTAGCCGACCGTTCATAAGCTATAAAAATACCTATAAAACTTGCAGCGGTCTCAAGAAATTATCGCAGATGGTAAATAGCCGCGACGAAGATTCGAATAGTCCGAGCCGGTGAATTTTACCAACCAAAGTTTCGTGAACGTAGGGGCGACGAACATCAACATTAATTTACAAGTGGTCCAGAAAAAAAGCTATGAGATTTTATTTATGAAAATAATTTGCTAACTTTTTTTCACATGTAAATTAATCGCGACGTGATTTTCTAAAAAATCAATCCCAAAAAACCAACAACGTAGAATTTCAACAACCAAAAGGGACTTCTAAAACAAACCCAAAAGAGAACATCCAAAATGGAAAGGTGTGTTAGAAAGTGTTTTAATTTTTATTGGAGCTGATGAGGTGTTAATCATATAATATGTATGGGTTCTCATTTTCGCAGATTCGCTGAACAGCCCCCAATGGGACCACACTTTGCTGCCCTCGGCAATGGATCGGTAACAGATAAGGTGGGTATTGTGATAAAGAAAATCGAATACATTGGGAAAAAGAGGTCCATCGAAACAAAGACAAAAAAAAATAATCTACGCCTTGAATAGCCCTGAAAAAATATTCTGTAACAAATCTAAGCAAACATTTTTCTTTAAAAAAATCTACTTTCAGTCTAGGCCTAAAAAAATATTCTTTAAAAAAATCTACTTTCAGTCTAGGCCTAAAAAATTTTTCTTTAACAAATCTACGCCTTAAAGATCCCTGAAAAAAATATATTATTCTAAAATCTAAGCCTTGAATAGCTCTGAAAATAACATTTTTTGGAATATTTTTAAAAATTGCACTCAATGCGCACTGGAAAAAATTTTCTTTAAAAAATCTACGCCTTGGCTAGGCCGGAAAATTTTTTTTCTTAAAATAATCTACGCCTTGGCTAGGCCGGAAATTTTTTTCTTTAAAAAATCTACGCCTTGGCTAGGCCGGACAATTTTTTTTCTTAAAAAAATCTACGCCTTGGCTAGGCCGGAAAAAAAATTCTTTAAAAAAAATCTACTTTCAGTCTAGGCCTAAAAAAATTTACGCCTTGAATATCCCTGAAAAAATATATTATTCTAAAATCTACGCCTTGAATAGCTCTAAAAATAACATTTTTTAAATAATCTACGCCTTGACAAGTCTCAAAAAAATTCTTTAAAAAATCTACACCTTGAATAGCTTGAATATTCTTAAAAATTGCACTCCAATGCGCACTGAAAAAATTTTTCTTTAAAAAATCTACGCCTTGGCTAGGCCGGAAAAAAATTTTCTTTAAAAAATCTACGCCTTGGCTAGGCCGGAAAAAAAATTTCTTTAAAAAATCTACGCCATGGCTAGGCAGGAAAAAATTTTTCTTTAAAAAATCTACGCCTTGGCTAGGCCGGAAAAAATTTTTCTTTAAAAAAATCTACGCCTTGGCTAGGTTGGAAAAAAATTTTCTTTAAAAAATCTACGCCTTGGCTAGGTTGGAAAAAAATTTTCTTTAAAAAAAAAATTTTTTCTTTAAAAAAAAATTTCTTTAAAAAATCTACGCCTTGGCTAGACCGGGAAAAAATATTCTTTAAAAAAGAAGAAAGAATATTTTATTAAAAATCTACACGTTGTATATCCCTGAAAAAATATTCTTTAGAAAATCTACCCTTGGATAGCCCTGAAAAAATATTCTTTAAAAAATCTACGCCTTGAATAGCCCTGAAAAATATTTTATTTAAGATCTATTTACGCCTTGTATAGCCCTGAAAAAATATTATTTAGAAAATGGCCGGAAAAATATTCTTTAAGAAATCTACGCCTTGAGTTGGCCGGAAAAATATTCTTTAAGAAATCTACGCCTTGAGTTGGCCGGAAAAATATTCTTTAAGAAATCTACGCCTTGAGTTGGCCGGAAAAATATTCTTTAAGAAATCTACGCCTTGAGTTGGCCGGAAAAATATTCTTTAAGAAATCTACGCCTTGAGTTGGCCGGAAAAATATTCTTTAAGAAATCTACGCCTTGAGTTGGCCGGAAAAATATTCTTTAAGAAATCTACGCCTTGAGTTGGCCGGAAAAATATTCTTTAAGAAATCTACGCCTTGAGTTGGCCGGAAAAATATTCTTTAAGAAATCTACGCCTTGGATAGCCTTGAACAAATTCTTTAAAATATCTATGACTTGAATAAGTCTGCAAAAATAGTATTTAAAAAATCTACGACTTGAATAGGCCTGCAAAAATAGTATTTAAAAAATCTACGCCTTGGATAGCCCTGAAAAAATATTCATTAAAAAATCTATGCCTTGACTAGCCCTGAAAAATTTTGTTTCAAAAATCTACCCCTTGAATAGCCCTGAAAAAATATTCTTTTGAAAATCTACGCCTTTAGTAGCTCTGAAAAATATTCTTTAAAAAATCTACGCCTTGACTAGCCCTGAAAAATATTCTTTAGAAAATCTACGCCTTGAATAGCCCTCAAAAATATTCTTTAAAAAATCTACGCTTGATTAGACCAGACCAAATATTGAAAAAGCCTACGCTCTAATATAGTCCTGAAAATTTTCCAATATCGATAATTCCATAATCTATTATCTCCCACATTACAGGTAACACCCGATATGGCTCATCTAATCCATCCCTATTGGAATCAATTTCCCGCCATGGATCCCATCTGGAGTAAAATTCTAGCTGCCTACCTCTTGACCATCGGTATTCTGGCATGGATCGGTAACGGTACTGTTATCTACATTTTTGGCACAACAAAATCTCTGCGTACACCGGCCAATTTATTGGTCATCAATTTGGCACTTTCCGATTTTGGCATGATGATTCTTAATACCCCTATTATGGGTATTAATTTATATTTTGAGACCTGGGTCTGGGGGCCATTGATGTGTGATGTATATGCTGGATTGGGTTCAGCATTCGGTTGCAGTTCAATATGGTCCATGTGCATGGTTGCCTTGGATCGTTACAATGTCATTGTAAAGGGTATGGCCGGTCAACCGATGACAGTGAAATTGGCCATATTTAAGATTATTTTCATTTGGCTAATGGCCAGCATATGGACATTTGCACCAGTTTTGGGATGGAGCCGGTAAGCTGACAGAGAAAGGAAAAAAATTTATTTAAAAATACAAAACAATGTTCCATTGCAGTTATGTGCCCGAGGGCAATCTAACTTCTTGCGGTATTGATTATTTGGAACGTGACTGGAATCCACGTACCTATTTGATCTTCTATACCATCTTTGTCTATTATGTGCCATTGTTCTTGATCTGCTATTCTTATTGGTTCATCATTGCTGTAAGTATTTGGAGAGAGGGGGAATTTCTACTTGAAAAGATTTTGATTTTTTTGAATCTGCCCTAGGCTGTATCTGCTCACGAGAAAGCCATGCGCGAACAAGCCAAGAAAATGAATGTCAAATCTCTCCGTTCCTCTGAGGATGCTGATAAGTCTGCTGAGGGCAAATTGGCTAAAGTTGCCTTGGTCACCATTTCCCTGTGGTTCATGGCCTGGACCCCATATCAAGTCATCAACACCTTGGGTCTATTCAAATATGAAGGTTTGACCCCACTGAACACCATCTGGGGTGCCTGCTTTGCCAAATCGGCCACTGTCTACAATCCAATTGTATATGCTACTAGGTAAGAAATAAGCCATAAAGAAATATATATATACTCACGTTGTCTCTTCCTCAATTTTCTCTCTCTCGCTCTCTCATTACAGCCATCCTAAATATCGCATTGCCTTGAAAGAGAAATGCCCATGCTGTGTCTGCGGCAATGTTGATGATGGCAAATCGGGCAGTGATGCCACATCTCAGGCCACTGAATCCGAATCCAAGGCATAAATTTCCAATCGCACGGAATAACTACTACGGCTTCCTTCGACCACGATCTCCACGATTAATAAATTAATTAACTAACCACCAACCACCTCTCTGTATAAGACACAACAATAACAATTTAGAAACAAAAATGAGAACATATATATTTGAAGAACAAAAGAAAATTGTAACTTGTAACTAATACTACTCTACTATATATAAATACAATTACAACTACTATTTTTTTTTTATAAATATACACCTCGGAGATATACAATGTGACGTGTGATAGATAGACAGTTAGCTACATGGCATCCTGGCTTTTACCACAACTCAAAATCAAGGAACTGATAATTATTGTTAAAATAATACGGAAATGGAAACTGCAGCAACAGAACGAAAGCTTTCGCATAATAGTAACGAATTATGTACTTAAAAAAAATATTTAGTAATTTTATTCAAAAAGTGTTGTATTTGTTATAGGAAATTATTAAACAATTTATTTTTTTAGTTTTGATTTTTTGTGTTATATTTGAATTTTTAGTTCGAAGAAAAACTCTGCAATGTCACTAAAGACGAAAAAATACAAAAAAAAACATTCAAGAACAAGAATATAAAACATTACACACGAAATTTGAAATAATATAGAAGAACATGCATACAACCACTTAAAGATGGTCAAGCAAACGAAAAATAATTTTTAGAAATGTGTTTTATTTAAGAAAAAAAAAATCTGAAAAAATATTCTTCCAAAATATTCTTTAAAAAAATCTACGCCTGAAAAAATTTTCTTAAAAAACCTAAGCCTTAAATAGCCCTGAAAAAAATATTCTTCAAAAGGCCCTAAGAAAATATCCTACGCCTTAAATAGCCCTGTAAAAAATATTCTTTAAAAAATCTACGCCTGAAAAAAGATCTAAGCCTTAAATAGCCCTGTAAAAAATATTCTTTAAAAAATCTACACCTGAAAAAAAGATCTAAGCCTTAAATAGCCCTGTAAAAAAAGATCTAAGCCTTAAATAGCCCTGTAAAAAATATTCTTTAAAAAATCTACGCCTGAAAAAAGATCTAAGCCTTAAATAGCCCTGTAAAAAATATTCTTTAAAAAATCTACGCCTGAAAAAAAGATCTAAGCCTTAAATAGCCCTGAAAAATATTCTTTAAAAAATCTACGCCTTGACTAGCCCTGAAAAAAATATTCTTTAACAAATATACGCCGTTACTAGCCCTGAAAAAATATTCTTTAAAAAATCTACGACTTGAATAGCCCTGGAAAAAATATTCTTTAAAAAATCTACGACTTGAATAGCCCTGAACAAAATATTCTTTAAAAAATCTACGGCTTGAATAGCCCTGTAAAAATATTCTTTTAAAAAATCTACACCTTGACTGGCTCTGAAAAATATCTACGCCTTGACTTACTTACTTAGCTGGCTTGTGACAGAACTTACGTTCCATAAGCCGAGCTTAAAAAATATTTCCAGGCACGTCGGTCTTTTACGAAGTTTTTCCAATTTGAAAGACCATTTTCGGCAATGTTGTCTTCGATTTGATCTTTCCATCGTATTCGTGGCATTCCCCTTCTGCGTAAACCATCAGCTGGTTCGTTTTATATGCCTTCTGAGCTGGGAATCTTCATCCATTCTCACAACATGGCCTAGCCAACGTAGTCTCTGCAACTCAATACGTCTAACAATGTCGATGTCCGAAAATAGATGCTACAACTCATGGCCATTCACCGTCAACGCAGATCGGCCCATAGATCTTTCGGAGACTTTTTCTCTCAAAAACACACCAAGAGCTGTCTCATCTGATTGCGCAAGTACCCATGCTTCAGATCCATATAACAGCACGGGTGGTATCAGCGTCTTGTAGAGTGTGAGTTTGTCTGGCGGGAGGTGGCCTTGTTTTTGAGTTGTTTGCTCAGACCATAGTAGCATCGGTTGGCCATCACTATCCTTCTCCGAATTTCAAAACTGATGTCATTCGTTTTATTTATGGCGGTTCCAAGGTATATAAAATCTTTCACTACCTCGAAACTGTAGTTCTCAAGTTGGTCCGAGTCTACTGGACGTCTTGCGCGTTGATACCATCAGCTTGGTCTTCTCGCCGTTTACTGCCAGACTCACTTTGGCAGACTCCTTCTCAATTTGTTCAAAGGTGGCTATTACCGCTCTCAGTGTTCGACCCATTATGTCGATGTCATCGGCGTAGGCGAGTAACATGTATTGTTTGGTGTACAGAGTGCCATTTCTGTTCACTTTTACCTCTCGTTCACTTTTGGCCTTTTCCAGCAGGATGTTAAAAAGTTCACACGACAAACTGTCACCTTGTTTGAATCCTCGTTCGGTATTAAAGGGCTCCGAGAGGTCCTTTCTGACATTAACTGCTGATCTTGTGCCAGTTGAAGTTATCCTGCATAGCCGAATTAATTTTGCAGGAATGCCAAACGCAGACATGGCTTTATACACCTCTGAACGGATAGGGCTGTCGAATGCGGCTTTATAGTCGACGAATAGGTGCAATGTGTCGATGTGTTTTTCGTAGGTTTTTTCCAGAATTTGGAGCAGAGTGAAAATCTGGTCAATGGTGGATTTGCCAGGCCTGAAGCAGCATTGGTATGTCGTCGTTCACACAGTACGCTGCATAGCACTTTATATGCGATGGGAAGGAGACTTATTCCTCTATAGTTAGCACATATCGTCTTGTCTCCTTTTTTTGTGCACGGGACACAGAATGCTGTGGTTCCAATCATTGGGCATGCATTCTTCTAGCCAAATTGTACTAATCATCTGGTGCATGTTCCTTACCAGCATCTGACCACCAGCGGTACCTGCTGTTTTATTATTCTTCGGCCGATTGATTGCTATTCTGACTTCATCTTGGCTAGGTGGTATACACTCAATACCGTCATATATTATTGGTTCTGGGGTATCCTCTTCACCGCTACTATTTGATACCAGAAGTTTTTCAAAATGCTCCTTCCAGATCTTCAACACGCTTTCTGTATCTTTCACCAGGTTTCCTTCTACATCTCTACAGGAGGATGTACCTGCACCAAAGCCTTCGGTTTTGTGTTTTACCCGTTGGTAAAATGTTCGGACTTCATTCTGACTTCTGTACATCTCGATTTGCTCACGCACACGTTTTTCTTGTTCTTTCTTTTTTCTGAAAATACGTTTCTCCTCTCTCCTATTCTCCCGATAGTTCTCCATCGCATTACGTGTTACTACTGTCCGCAGGGTTGCCCTATACGCTGCGGTTTTCATATCAGTAGCATTACGACACTCCTGTTGCTTTTGCTGCAGTTTGTAGGGAGTTGGCAATTCTCTGCCACTGAGCTTCTATATTATTATCGGGCCAAGAGGTGCTTTCGTCTAGCAGTTGGGAAAGTTGTGCGGAGTAGGCATCTGCTATCTGTTGTTTTTGCAGCTTTTCGATGTCAAGTTTCCGTGTTACATTAGATCGCACCTTTGCTGCTACATTAAGACGGGTGCGTACCTTGGGTGCCACTAGGTAATCGTCCGAATCGATATTCGCTCCTCGGATCGATCGGATGTCAAAACACTGGTTGAATGCCTTCCGTCTATCATAACATGATCGATTTGATTTTTCGTTGTTCGATCGGGAGAAATCGAAGTGGCCTTGTGTATATCGAGATGCTAGAATCTGAGGCTGCTAACTACCAATATTTTTTTGCTGTCGCGAAGTCAATCAACCTCATGCCGTTGTCTGATGATTCTTCATGGAGGCTGAATTTTCCGACAGTGGGCCAAAGATATTTTCCCTTCCGATTTTGCATTAAAATTTCCTTGCATAATTTTAATGTCATGGCCAGGGCAACGGTCATATGCTGTTTCTAGGCGCTCGTAAAATATGTCTTTGGTCTGCTTATTTTTATCTTCGGTCGGAGCATGGGCGCAAAAGAGACTGATGTAGAAGAACTTCGCTTTTATACGGATTATAGCAATTCGCTCATCTACAGGAGTGAATCTGGAGACGAGGTATTTTATTCTCCTGTTAACCATAAATCCGCAGTCAAATTCACGTTTCGTTTCATGGCAGCTATAACACAGCCAGTCCCTTTCCATCGCATTTCCTGTAAGGCAATAATATCGGCTTTGTACTTCTTGAGTACATCCGCCAAAGCGAACACTGCGCCTGTTCTGTACAACGCGCGCACATTCCAAGTGCAGATTCGCAGATCGTTGTCCTTTATACGTTTGCAGGGGTCGTCAACATTGGGGGGTTTGGTTTTCGTTTTCTTTGCTTTTTCATAGTAGGTTCGGTTTTCCGAGTGTGGGCAACTAACCCGACGCCTCAACCCTTTTTTTATAGTTCTTATGGGTGAACTCGCTGCACATATTAGCTCATGTCGTGATGAAAATAGCTACCCCAGGTGGCACCACGGGGTCAGTGTCCACAATTGAGATGAAAGAGGGACCAAGATAAGCCTGGACTTCGACACGTTAATCATATTAATCTAAGCTCTGGCTAGCTTAGAAAAAATATTCTATTCTCTGTGACTAGCTTTAAAAAATATTCTTTAACAAATCTACGACAGTCCCTGATAAACTATTATATTATGGGACCACACTCATATAATTGCAGCATTTAATTCTATTTGTTAATCTGTCTTGAATTAACATTTCCTTAAGCCACCTTGAATATAATTTGTATGTGTTTGTTGTTGTTTTTGTAAATGGCTAAGAAAAAGATAAGAAGCCTTAATTTAATTGTCTTCGATTACAATTCGTCTATCTAGACAACAGTTCTGAAGCTATAAAAATACCTATAAAACTTGCAGGTGGTTTAAGTAATTCTTGCAGATGGTAAATAGTCGCGACGAAGATTCGAATAGTCCGAGTGACTTTCTTTTAGGCGGGAACGACGAACATTAACACTAAACAAGTGGTCGCGGAAAAAAAGATATGAGATTTTATTTATGAAAATAATTTGCTAACTTCTTTTCACATGTAAATCAAAAGCGAAGTGATTAAAAACCTATAAAACGGTCAACAAGTATCCCATTAAAGAGTCTTCTGTAAAACCAATAATAACGAATCCTCCAAAATGGAAAGGTGTGTTAAGCAGTGCTCCCTTTTTCAGGAACTGAAGAGACGATAAACATAATTTTGT